TAGGACAAGAGATATTCTTGTGGCTTTAAAATCGGTCATCCCCAAACTCTTGGCAACAGAATGAGGCATGAGGTTCACACTAGACCCAAGATCACACAATGACCTCTCAAACTTCTTTTGAAGATGGTGCAGTCTAGAACAAAGCTTCCTGGGTCTGAAAGCTTCTCTGGAACTCTGTTCTGAATCACTGCACTGACCTGCTCGTTGATCATCATAGCCCCAACCTCAAGACTCAAGTTATTGGTCACCATTCTCTTCACATACCTCCTAATAACAGGAGTTATCCTTACAGCATCAATCAATGGGATCTCTATTACCAACTTGTCCATGATAGCCTTGCATCTCGCATCCTCAAGCTCCTGCTTAGACTTCTTAGGATGCTTAGGATAGGGTATCTAGGGTTTATACACGGTCTCCTTAGCATTATCTGAAGTCTTAGGCGAAACTGCAACATGTGGTGTCTGGTGACGAGCGTCACCCTCTTGGTGACGGTCGTCACTAATTTGTGAAGAATCGGGGTCGGGGTCGTCCTCAATGGGTGACGAGCGACACCCATTATTGGTGACGAGCGTCACCAATGGGTCTGCAGTAAAATTTTCTTCATCTTCATACTCTTCCATACCTACGAAATTTCTTGAGGTTAAATCCTTCTGCAACACTGGTTGCAGGTTCCTTCCACTCCTCAATGTGATGGCATTCACGTGGTGTTTGGGATTAGCATCAGTTCTTCCTGGAAGGAATCCTTCTTGCCTCTGAACAGCTCCTGCAGTTTGAGCAACTTGAACATCAAGCTTCTTCATATGAGAGTTCAGACTCAATTTTCCCATTCAAGTCCTGATAGAGCGAATCTATCTTGCCATTGAAGTTCACAGTAAGCTTCTGTTGTCCTTCCAAGATCTGTTCGAACATTGCTTCCATTTTGTTCTCTTGTGGAGGTGCTGGTTGATAGGAAGTAGAACCATAGTTTCTGTAATTTCCACTGTTCTGGAATGGCTTCTGATACTCTGTCTTCTGGAAAGGGGGTCTAGGAGTGAAACCAGGCGTGTTCTGTCCTCCTGTAGGGGCGTTTTTCTGATTGTTATTGCTGTATCCTCTGTTCCACTGCTGATTCCCATACCTTTGTCCCTGAAATCCGCCAGAATTGATGAAATTTACATCCTCCTGCTCAACTTCCTCTGGAGCTTCGAAAGTCTCTACTTCTGCAGCAAAGTGAACTGACTTCTTCCCTACTAAAAGGCTGTGCATATCATCCAACTTAGCCTTAACTTCAGCAATCTGATTTCCATCAGCTACACCAGCTTGTTTCATTCTCTGAAAGTCTGCATTTTTAGTGCTGTTGCTGCAGACCAAGTTCTCAATCAGTCTCACCGCCTCCTCTGGTCTGTTGGTGTTGAAGTTCCCTGCACTTGCTGCATCCAGCGCCATCTGATATTTCCAGTCAATGCCTCTGAAAAAGATCCCAAGTAATTGCACCTGACTGAAACCATGATGAGGGCAGTCCCTTTGATAAAACTTGAACCTGATCCAAGAAGCCTTGAAAGCTTCAGTAGGGCCTTGTGTAAATGATGCAATTTTCGTCCTCATGTCTTCTGATCTGGCATCATCATAGAAATTGTTCAGAAAGGCATTCTTGGTGTTCTCCCAAGTAGTTAATGAAGCAGGTTCCAGTTGCTTCAGCCAATATGCAGCTTCTCCTTCAAGAGAGTATGGAAAAAGCTTGCAGAACAGAAAGTCATTGCTAACCCCATTAGCTTTGACACTGGAAGCCAAGTCCTCAAATCTCTCTATGTGATCCATAGGATGCTCATGAGGTAAACCATGGAAGGGATGCTGTCCAACTAGCTGATAGTAGACAGGTTTAACCTCAAAATCGTTCCTCTGGAAGGCAGGAGGTCGGATTGCAGCTCTGTTGGCATAGAACTGATCAGGTCTGTTGTAATCACCTAGAGTCCTCTGAACAAAACGCCCAGCAGCGTTATTGACAGCAGCAGGGACTCCCACGTTCTCAGCCACTTGCTGAACCTGCTGTTCAACAATGACATTCCCCTCTTGATCAATTCTCTGCCCCTCTTCGTTCCTCCTGTTTCCTTTCCTGTCAACCAAGTGACCTTCTGCATCTTCAACCAAGATCAGTGGAGCGACCATTGCAGATTGCTTCTTAGCTTTCCTGTTAGTTCTCTCCAACCTAGCAAGCTCGTCGATGCTCAAAGTCACAAGCTCCTTCTCTTTGTTGCTTCTGGTTCTGCGATTAGGCATACACCTGAAACAGGAACAAAGAAAAGTAGCTGAAAATCAGTAAAGAAATAAAAACTTAGACAAAATCCTAATACTAAAAATCGATAGGCAGCTATTACTCCCCGGCAACGGCGCCAAAAACTTGATAGGGTCAATGTTTTACCCAAATAAAACTACTGCAAGTGCATAGCAAAAGCAGATGTAGTATAAGGGGTATCGAAATCCCAAGAGAGTAATGTAAACTACACTATCGAGTATAGATTCGGACTAAGCTAAGCAAAATATGATGTATGTAATGCGAATGAATTAATAAAAGTAAGCAAACGAATGTGTGAAGTTATCTAAGTTCAAGAAGATTAAAAGCGCTAAGCCAGGGTAATTCGCAGGTTTGAATCCAAGAATGTATGATGCAGGAAATCAGGAATGATTAAGAACCGTTTTAAACATGAATCTCTAATGCATAACTAATCAATTCTCATTGTAAAAGTTATCTATGCTTAAATTACAGAGTTTCAAATCTCTTTGCAAACCCTAGCAACCTAAGCATGCAGTAATGATCAGGTTCAATTGTTTACAAAAACTCCTAAGCCAAATCTCTTTGTACTAAGTTGTTTTGCTCATCAAATACTAGTTCAGGTTATGAATAATGCTCTCACATATATTTAACAACCTATGATTTTCGGATTCCTAGATGATGTGTCTCAGAAATTCGATTTTAAAGCAAGCAGAGATGAAAAACCATGAGATATTCCTAACAGATAGCGATTCTACACTCTTTTCATCAACCTTTGAAAAACCCTAACTTAACTAGCAGATTACTCAGACATGATTATGAGATCACAAAGCATAACTGAATAAAATTGCATTAAGAGAAAGAGTAAGAAACAAAGGGGGTTCGAAATCTTCTCAAAAGAGTACAGGATTTGTCTCCCCAAAAAGCTCTGAATAAATCTCTCTCTAGCTCTCTGAATTCTTAAAAACTTAGATCCTAGACAACAATGGCTGAAAAACCTAATAAATAGAAGCTAAACACGACCTGGGGTCTTCATGTAAATAAAGGAAACTTCTGGATAAATTCTGCAATTCTTCTTGATACTTTTAATAAAAGGCCACGCTCCTTCCTTAGTGGGTGACGAGCGTCACTGAAGGGGTGACGATCGTCACCATATGCGATACTTTTCTGCTTCGAGCTTGGTACTTCGTGGCTTCCACTCAGAATGCTCCAAAAGGTTCCAAAATCTCCAATTATGCTTCAGACATGCTATAACCTGCAAAGACTCTTCTAGGACTCTAAAAATACCAAAAAGACTCAATAAAAAGGACTTATATCATGGTTAAAAACCATAAAAACCATGATATATCAATACTCATGATGCTCGAATCGGTTCTCCTTCAATTGAGAGCTAGCTCGACGGGTGTATAATACTCCTGCCAAGTTTTGGCTCTAGCCGAGCTCGTTTTCCCATCCAAACATTACAACTCGTCAGACATATAACACTGTTCTATACTGCGTCAACTAGTTCCAAAAAGACATCTATAAATAACAAAATGACCGTTCACTGCTTAATCCCACTGTTGGATATAAATTCCAGTGTGCCACCTTGAAATTCACCAAATATCAGCACAATCAGGCGTCATTTAAACCCTCAAATAATACCTTGAAAACTCTGCAGCGAAACTGTTTTTCTGCAAATCTCTGATTCTGCGTGATTTTTGGCTAACTTCCAGATCAATTTACGAATGACTTATAACTTGTATTGATGACCCGTTGAATCCTCTGAATCACATGAAGCGAGCTCTTTTGAGAGACAGCTCAATCGTTGTCTGGTTCATTCTAGTCTGGACCTAATCTTCCTCCAAAGTAGGCAACCCGGACACTGTAATTTTTGGACTCCCAATTGCAGGCTTCTCAGGTGTTTCTTGACCGGGAAACAAGCTCTCCAGGGAACACCTCCGGTGGTACTAGTGTTTCTACTTAACTCTTTTAGAATCTCTGGATGATGGTGAACACGCTGATGCCCTCGCTAAACCTAACCGGCGTTTTCTCTTTCACTGACATGCCTCCAAAGTTGCTCCAATCACACTGTCTTCTTCTTCTATCTGCTTTGCATGAACTCAGGTTTTGATATTCGGATCTACTCCGATCTGCCCTGTTTCTGCTTCTCCTTATTGACACAGATCAGATCTTATTTTTCCAGTGCTTTTTCTTGGTGGTGGTGTTCTCTTCCCGGCGAAAACTCTCTTCCTCACGAGAGCATCGTCTTCTCCTTTTCGCTCCACCTACGTCTCTGCTTCCACTCCTATTATCACCAAGACAACCTCTTCTACACTCTATTATCTCTCTTCATTTTGTCTATCTTCTTCTTCCTTGAATCAACATCCCTCCTCTCTTTGCCTACTTCCATCGATCTCTTTTGTTACGCTTCTCATCTTCTTAATTATGTTCCACGATCTCTTTAAAACTGGATCTCCCCTTTCTTTTAGCTACTGACTAATGCCTAGGTGCCATCACCCCAACGATAGACTGAAACATCACCAATGGTGAACTCTCTCTCTCTCTCTCTCTTCTTCCTTTTCTCTCTAAGGCAGCGGTTACGTGAAAATTGGATGATAGGTTTTACCTTGATTATCATCAAGATATGCAAATCACGCTTATATTTTGTGTAGACACACTTACACATCCGACTAATTTAAAGAATGCTAAATGGGCTTGGACCTCATAGGTTTAATTAATTCAAACTGGTCCAAATATTAAAACTCGGGTGTTACACACCTACTTAATTGTTTATAGAAAAATTAAGATCAGTAATTACAAAATCGTACATGAAACTATTTATTACCTCTAAATATACGTTTAAATCTCCATTCACGACCATGCAGATCTTTTGCAACTATTTCTTGTGTTGGTGTAGGATGAGACATATTCTAGAAAAAAAATTCAAAAATAACATTTATAAGCAAACTTACAATTTAAGACAAAACATTAGTTGATAAACAAGTATAAATACCAAAGGGGGAAGACATTCAAGTGCATGTTTTTTGAGAACCGATAATCCACCATGTGGACTTGTATCAGAAGCACTTAAAACTTTGGTGAAATAATAATTATATGGATTTTCTTGATTGCTACTTGGAATAGGGATTCCAACTTCCTATAAAATTTTGAAATCCAAATATTCATTTAATAGAGTTTAGGAAAAAGATAAAATATATAAATTATATTTATAAAATTAGTCACTCATAGTATAGTTGTATCTGGCAGCAAAGCCACTTCAGCATACAATTCATTTGTATAGTTTTCTATCTAAAATCAAACAACAAAATAATTAACAAGTTTTTTTTAATGATAATAACATAAAGTAATATTATATATCTTCTGACCAAATATTAGTAATGCTCATTCTCTAAAGTAGATTATTAATACTAAAGAGACATACATTTAGCTGATTTCCAATAACATTACATGAAAGCTTTGAAGGAATATCATAAAGTGGCTGGATTTGGGCCAACTCATTATTTGTAGATGCTTCAAGCTGATAATGTCATCAGATTGTAGAAAAAAGCTTAACAAGCCAAGATAGAAAAATGGGAGAGAATATATAAGGATACATGGAGAAAAACAAATCTGCTCTATGTGTCCTTGAGGAAAGTAATAACTCTTTCTCCAGATTTTGGAAGACCAAACGAAGGTCCAGCACATAATCTTCATAATTCATTATACAAATAGCTTTTGGTTTCATTGACTGTTAAACAAAGAAATATTATCGTGAAAAAGTGCTTACAAAAACAAAAACCAAGTTTAATTTTGTTCTCGTATACCTAAAAAATCAGATTGCACATTCACCTCTTGATTACTCGCCATTAGCTCTTATCCAAACACTGGTCTGAAACATTCACTTTCGATATGAGATCGTTTTAACACAATAAAAAGAATATTTTCTGATTTTTATTTTTTTACATGATGTTGTAATTCAAAAAATTAAAGAATTATTCATAAAATTGCAAAATTAGGTTCTAAATTATTTCCATATTTAAAAATAATTTTGACATTTACATATAAATGCTTGTAATATGTTAAATATAATGATCTTATGGGTATACCACTATATTATAGGTAAGAATATGTTTATATTTATTTTAACATATAAACTATGTGCATATATACAGTGAAAGATTATTTGGTTTATAATTTGAATTAAAAACATCTAATATAAAATAGAAATGAATATTATTTCATCATATTCAATTTTTTTTATATTAGAAATTAAGATTTAAAATTGTCTGTAATCAATGTTTTTATTACTAAATTTGGCCGACTAAACATATTTTACAACTTAAAAAATATAAGCAAAATTCAAAAAAATAAAGGAATATCTGAGCAAACTAATTTGAATATTTTTATCATTTTTATCATCAAAAATTTGTTTATATAATTGATGAAAAATATAAATTTGGAATTTATGAATACTGGTATAATAAAAAATCAATATACCTTTGTTGAACGAATGGTGAGAACTTTGTTTAATGAACTTGTGAAAGTGTTTGATATGCAAAAAGTTACTTTAAAGGAACGAGTTTTTTGTTAATATTGATGTATCTTAGATTTGATACATAATATGTATTTATAGGTGAAACAATAACAAAATTATACATTAATATTATGAATCTTTGACTATTAATTTATGCGAGTTACCAAAAAATAAAAGTATGGTCAAACATGTATTTTATAGTCAAACATGTATTTAAAAAAAAGAAACTTATTAAATACCAAATTAACTATATTTCCAAAAACATTACGTAACAGAGCTATAGAAGAATTGAGAATTTGAGACCATCCTGCATAATAAGGTGAGTATGCCTTCAAATGGACGATAAGACAGTGTTCACGGGAGAAACAAATGCCGAAAACAGAATCTCTAGCCTTTTTACTAAAATATGAGAGTATTTTCGTGGAGTATTACTTGTATCATTTTCCAATGATCGATAAATAATTAAGACAAGCTATAAGGGTTTGATAAAGTTGATTCAGTCCCCGACCGTATTGTAAGTTTCTCTAATCTTTTAGTTGAATTTGATGTGCTTGGAGATAGATCTAATAATTTTATTCCTGTCCTCTCAAACCTTTGGGCATAATGTTTTGTAATGTATTCATTTTTTTAATCCCAAAGTAATCCACTGAAAAGGTGAACAATACACAATAATGACTATGACATTGACTATACGAAGACTAAGGGGAAGACTTAGGAGAGAGGTAATTCGTAGATGGATTTATGTAGATTTATTTTTTATAGAATTGAGATATTTTTAAATTTCTTGTTGGTTTTAAAAATAAGATTTGGGTTCTTATAATAGATTACAATTGATTGATAGAATTTTGTTTCTTTCTTCTACAATTGAGTTTAATTAGTTTGAGTGATAATAGGTTCAATCCAAGATGTTCAAAAAATCATAATAATACTAATCCTTAGGAATATGATTCTTAAACAAGACTAATCCATACTCATGGTACTATCACTTTACTAACCACCTTAATTATGATCTAATAATTATTAATGAAAAATTAATTAACAAGCATGAAATTTCAGTTCTATTAAGGTATAAAACACCATAAACATTCATTATCATGATCTAGGAATGTAAGTCTCTTAACTTAGTTAGTTGGGGCATTTCATCAAAGATCTTGTGGGCGAGTAATGCCCTAAGGACTAGATCAACAAGATCAAGGCAAATCCAGCATTAAAAATACTAAGAAAGAAATACTCTATTGTATTTAAGTTTTTCATTCTAAAAGTGGTAAAATATGTAGTAAATCAGCCATAACTCAAAGACCTCGAGATTCTCTTCGATCTCACCTCGCAAAATTCAAAGAAATCATGGGATGAATGCCAGTGGTTCACGATGAGACGACTCTAGCAGCTTTACAAACCAAACTATAGAATGATTCCAAATTCAAAGACGATCATACTGTTGACAAACATGCAAAATTAGTATGAGTAGAAAAAAACCGAGAATCGGGTTCAGAACGCTACAAGGGGTAAAAAATTCAACCAAAATTAGTCTGATAGCTCTGTGAAATGAAAATAATGACTGGAAAGACATCAAGGATTCAAGGGTTTATGCCTGACAACTCACTTACATAGTCCGGAATGTACCAAAAGCAAAAAACAACAATTCAACATCAAAGTCGGAAAAAGAACCTAGAATCTTAGGACAAGATTCGGGGGTGTATTGTATATACCAACAAGTTCAGGGCTACTCAACAGAAAAATGATACCGTCTAGGCGGAGCCCAATCTAAATTATAAGTAAAAAGAAAATTGGACGACGTTAAAATCACAGATCCAGCAACATCGAGTTGAATAAGGGAAACTCCGGAAATGACGAGGTTAGAGTACTGCGAACAGAAGAAAAAATGGATTAAACTTATCATCAACAGATCTTTAATCTATGGAGATTCCACCAGATCAATCAAGAGACACCCCCTACCCCCACCAACCGGAATGTCCGAGAATAAAAACTCGTACGAAGGAGCTGATTTAGACTGCTAGTATCCCAAGAAAAATCAGAAGACATTTTTGTTGCAATACGCTCCTATCCAGCTGAAAGATTGGTCCCCCTCACAACAACTATCATATGATAAAGGAATTCCACATGAGTCAGCATGGTCCAGCAGAGGAGAAGAGCATTCAGCAACATGCAAAACATATCTACCACTTGACAAACTCCCAACCTCGATTCAGCGACGTTTTGGATAAATAGGATTACTCAGCAAGCCAACGGTTATATGTCGTTTCATCGCTTTGAATTTAAGGGATTTTATTGATGAAAAGAATATATTTTTACTTTCGATTCATAGAAACTTCAGTGAATTACTCTATGTTTCAGTGAACGGAGAATTGTTTTATTCTTGTTCTTCGAAATTTTATTTATTTATTTTTATCGTTCATTTTGTAGGTTCGAATAATGCGAATAAACGATATAATAAGGAAGCTACAAAATGAATAAAGTATACATATTTCATCGCAAATGGATTTCTAATGATCTTTAGATGTCTTATATAATTATATTGATTCAAATGGGTTGAAAATATATATAAACAATTTACTAGTAGTTAATAGGATAGTATTAATGGAGATAACCAAATATGAGATGTTCATGGTTCTAAAATCAGTTAGTATGTAATTCCCGAACTGTTCTTGTGCTTTGATATTTTATTTATGTATTCTTATCTTTCATTTTGTAGGTTCGAATAACTCGAATAAATGATATAATAAAAAAGCTACAAAAGTTTGTTCCTAAGATAGATAAGGTAATATTTTTTCATCAAAAATGGATTTCTAATGATCTTTAGATATCTTAGATAATTATATTGATTCAAATGGGTTGAAAAAATCTTTATACCTATAAAGCACAAGTTAGTTGGCAATTGTGGGTTTGACACATGTCTTTTTTATTTTAAAAATAGATATTATTTTTAATTTTTCTATTTTTACTTAAAAATTAAAATAATTTATTTAAGATAAATAGAAAAAAATTAATAGAACAATAGGCAAGATATGTTCTTCCCAACTTCTGTTAATCTTCTCTCTATAACCGTTCTTCTTCCCACACCTCCATAATCATCCACAAGTTACAATCTCCGGAAAACTACCATTTATTATTCCGTTTATATTTGCGCGATGCTATTTTGTGTCTATTGATTGCTTCATACAAAAAAAGAAAAAGAAAACAGATTCTTTCCTTATCAAATGCAAAAACCCAATTGATTTTGATGACATCTCTTCTCCCAGGTAAATTGCTCATGCGTCTAATATTTTCCTATGTTTTTGTTTCTTAATATCTCAAATGATACTCTACTTTGTACTTCTACTATGGCCTCTCCTTTTTCAGATCTTCTCACACAATTGACAGTTTCTCTTCGATGTACTTAGGGCTTACCTTTTGATTTGATGAACCGGGCTAAATATAGCAGAAAAGTGGAATGATGATACAGATCAAAGTTTTTCTTCTTCTATTGTTTTTCTCTGTTGTTGTCAACCTTCTATCTCTTCGGTTACTCTCATGGCTAACAAATAATGATGCATTGATGCTGTTTTCAAAATGTGTGGGTATGGGTGTGGTAACTGGTAAGGCGACAAATAACACTCTACCGAGAAGAAGTACCATCAACCACTTTGTATAACAAAAGGAGAAGAAAAACAATAGTAACCAATGAGAGATTAAATTACATGTGTAAGTATCGTATCCTATTATTTAATCTGCTTAATTTTAATTTTCTGTTTTCTTGACTTAGGTTATAAGTTTTATGGATTTATGTTCCTCTGTTAGAAATTTTTTTTTTGTGTGTGTGTGATATACGTTGAAACGAATGTGTATCCAAATAGTATAATGTAACTGTTAATTGATTTTCCTAGGTTCATTTTGTAACTGACATTTCTATATTGATTTCTATTGCTTCTTAAATTTCAGTTTTCTTTTGCATTATTTTAGGGATGGATGTTTTATTTTTATACTTTTCAAGAAGTGAAAAAGAAAAATTGGAAAAGTTTTTATTAATGGTGATAATACTTACATACAACTCAAAGTTTCTTTTTGGTTTTTCTGATGACGATATTGTGATTTCAGTTAATAAGATATCTAGATTATAGTAAGTATAAATTTCTTAGTTTATTTCTAAATAGACGTTCTTATATCTAAGAGAAGCTGGAATCAAATATGTATTTTTATTTACTCTACAAGAGGTA